TAGGTACTGGCAGAGTCTGTACAGAGAGTTAGGTACTGACAGAGTTAGTACAGAGAGTTAGGTACTGACAGAGTTAGTACAGAGGTAGGTACTGACAGAGTTAGTACAGAGGTAGGTACTGACAGAGTTAGTACAGAGAGTTAGGTACTGACAGAGTCTGTACAGAGAGTTAGGTACTGACAGAGTCTGTACATAGAGTTAGGAACTGACAGAGTCTGTACATAGAGGTAGGTACTGACAGAGTCAGTACAGAGAGGTAGGTACTGACAGAGACAGTACAGAGAGTTAGGTACTGACAGAGTTAGGTACTGTAGAAGCTGTAAAGATGCAAGAAATCACAGTGCAGTTCAGTGCCGGTTTGAAATAGGTTTATTGCAGACGGCCAACCAGACAGCAAAGCAGACGCATCTTTGCCTGCTCTGCTCTGAAACAAGTTCCCTGGGTGTTTCCGAAACCAGGCACAGCCCCGGTCAACCTCTTGAGCAACCGTTAGATAGATAGGATAGATGGATAAGACTTCATTGATCCCACAGGGAAACTGATGAAAATGTGCTTGAGGACATCAGGGCAGCGTTAAGGAACAGGACACACATGTCCTCAAGCACAGAATATAGAAGGGCACACAAGGTGTTGGAATATTTTTAAAAACAGCGCAGAATGCGTATTCCGATGCCCATCTGTTTGAGAATGTCACAAACATTCTGCCTGTGATCTGCCTGGTTTCTCAGCACAAAGGAACCGTGTCACACTGAATTCCACGCTGGCAGAAACACTGGGAGCATTAGGAGTGAAGCTATGACTTGGATTTCTCACTATGAGGCCTGACTTGGTCTCAAGGCCATAAACAAGCTGAAAGCTGAAGCAAAGACGGTGAGATCTGAGCTCCTGCTGACACGCAGCAAACACAAGCGCTGCCTGTGATGGTCAGGCAGTATGTGCAGTGAGGCCCTGTTCACATTGTCTGGGTGAGCACTGTTCTCTGCCCAAGGCAGGGCCCTGTGCCCCCGACGTTCCCGGACAGAGGAGGTTTTCACCCCAGACCGTGCCTCTGAAGTCGCCCCATGAACTGTGACCTGCACCCCCCTTCCTG